CACTTGATCAGGGAGATAGTGGATCTCTAAAAGATCAAGATTGAAAGAGTATACGCAAAAGATAATATAGCAGATTCATTCACAAAGGTAATTGCTCGCATACTTTTGAAATACTTGTTGAGCTATTGGGTATTAGATACTACAATGATTGGCCTTAGTGCAAGTGAGAGTTTGTTGGATATAGGTGCCCTGCAGACAATAATTGTATATTGTAACAGGACCTATATGAATATAACATCGTTGTTTAAAATAATAGTATGCTATTTTGGTCAGATTTATCTGGTATTTTAACACAAATAAAGTCCTTAGAATGATACTAGACTATCAGACAATTCGGATATGATCGTAATGAAGAGATCTGATTTGCCGCTAACGTATATTCTAAAATGTTCCTAGTTAATGAAGTGTTGAAATGGGATATCATCACTTTGGTAAGACTAGTGTATGTTTTATTTCTTCTTTGGAAGGACGATGATCCATCTCTTAGATCATTGATGTGAGTCATCAAGATATAGTATACAGGTGACTCATTAGTGAATGAGTTGATTGAACGACTCACTGAGAACATCTAGTTGGTAATTATATTTAACTGTCAAATAGTAGTTCTCAAGTGATATAGTACAAAGTAGTCTCTTGGCCTGAGATATGAGTACAATATCTTACATGTCAGTATAGGTGTACTTAGACTTTTACCTAACCACAGTTTTTTTCGAGTTGTGCATAACGGTTCTTGTTAGGTACATCCCGAGGCATAAGTAGATATTAAGATGCTAATATGGGATTTGTCTCTCCCAGTATAGGGGTTAATGTCATAAGATTGTATGATATAACTATAACTTGGAAATCCTTAGCCGAGGTAAATAAGATAAACTGAGTGTCAGTTTGATCTTATAGGTTATGAGTTTAATATCTATAAACACTAATTTAGCAATTAGGGTTTGATAGTTTTTCATACCCTAGGCTTAATAGTTTGACATGGTTTGACGAAGAGACCGGACTATACGACATTATCACTGAGTGGTCCTGATAAAATTGTGTAAGCATCTTGCAGACATTTATCACAACTTATACTTGGGTAGTCTTCATGTGTAGCTAGCACCTCTATTGTACTTGTGGATATGATCCACTGCCGAGTTCTTAAGTTGGGTCCTAGAGTCACACTAAGTGCGTACTTGAATCCTATGAAACCCAATTTATAGAGTGATGCGTATGATTGATACGCATATATGATTTTACCGGATACACATAAACGGTTATGTATATCGATAAAATCGGAATACTATGTGCTTAGGAAATAAATTCTAGTATTTTTCCTATAAAGTTAACTTTTAGTCAACTAGTTGACTTTTTGGTCAACAGTTGACTTTTGATCAACTCATTGACTTTTTGGTCATATGATGACTTATTAATCAATGATTGTAAAATTATAAAATATCATATTTATGAAATACAATATTGATTTGGTATTCTCATTTATGAAATACATATACCATGTATAATGAGTCATGAGATGAGTCATTTAGTGGTATGGTTTGAGCACATGGTTTATTAGCATATGGTTTTGAAATGTAATGATTCATAAGATAATTCATTGCATGACTCATTGGATTAATCATTGATATTTGATGATTCATTGCATGACTCATAGGATGAGTCATTCATGTCATGAACGCATTTCACTCTATAAATATGAGCTCTTTTTCTTATGGAAAGGCTAATGAAAAATTGGTTAAGTGGTTTTTTTTCCATAAGAGAATAAAAGAGAGCCCTCCTCTTACTAAATTCTAGCAATCTTGAGTAAGAGGAAGTAGTATGATTTTATAGTACCCCCGGGTGGATATCTTACCTTGTGTCTCAAGAAGACTCCGATTTTATCAAGCCCACTTGAAGACTTGGAGATCCACTACGAGGAGATTTTCTACTACAAGGAGCAAGAGCTAAGGGTTGTTCGATCTTCTATCGAATCACGCTTCGAAAGTATGACTTTCTAACTTTTGAATGCTCTCTCTAATATAGGGATTATGTTAGATTTAATTAGGATGGTCCTATTATGTATTTCATGCTCTCTACATGCTTAAGGATGGTCCTATTATGTATTTCATGCTCTCTACATGCTTAGCATAATTATACATATAGTCTTCCGTTGCGTATTTTGCTTAGCATAATTATACATATAGTCTTCCGTTGCGTATTTTGCATGTATTTAGCATGAATTTCCTTCAGTAACATCATTTTCGAATAAATAAGTAAACAAAGTGATGTTGTACTGAGTTTTATGCTTAAGCAGATAGGTGTTACGCTTAATTCCGAACCCCCAACAGACTTAGTTACCTTTATGAATATTTATTTAATCTTCTCATGAGCTAATGCTCCTATTCAAGAACAAGTGGCCTGAGTCAAAATACTTTTAAGTTAAAGCTCATATGATGTCAGCGACTGAGGTATTAGCCATGTCCAAGTAGCTCATATATTGAATGTTAGCCTCTTAAGGAAAATTCTTGCAAGCCCATAAACACAGCTATCCCTCATCCTTCAAGCCTGTTCCAACCAATGAGGGGCCGGCCTATTAATAAGTAGTTATCGAAGATACTGATCATGTCTCAAACGGTCTTATAAATAAGAAGGAATTTTTTGAGTACGGCTCTGTAAGCAAGGAGGAGGAAAAGACATGTTGTAAACAATCGGAAGGAGAACAGGATCACACTTTTTCTGGTTAAAGACAGCGTGAATCAACCTGCTGCTATTTAATAAAAGTGAATGGCCAAACAGTGGCGCCGAGCAAATGCCACCATGCTGACTACCTCAATTGCACCCATTACTTGTTCTAAACAGGGGGAGAAATTATTTTGAAGTTGTTTCACCATGACAAAAAGATTAGAAATATAAAAATCCTTCCTACGAAAATACAAACATCTGTCACAACGATTTTGACCTCGTATAACCGTATCTACCAATTATCTTGTAACAGGAAAAGCGATAGCAAAGCATTGATTCTTGGGCTGCCAAAAAAAAAGGAAAAACCAATACTTCATAATACTAAATGCACTAAATTTGTATGACTTAAGGATATGGAACTTGTTTTCTGTTGCTGAAAATATTCAAAACTCAAAACCAAACAAAACTAGAGGCAGGAGAGTACTATGATTAGTTGGCTAAATGTACCATGAATTCGGAGATTAGAATCTGATTGTTGTATCATGAATTCGGAGATTAAAATCTGATTGTTTCAGCACGAATTATGTTATTGAAAGGCATAAACTAGTGATTCATACCTACAAAAAGAATCCACCCATCTACCAAAAATTCAAAACTTTGACACCTTACCCTTCCGCTTCCATCTACCCAAAGAATCTACAGAACCAAAAGAATCATTGAAATAGATAAAGAACAACGGGTTTGTTTACCACGTCCCGTCCAGCACAAGTGAGTTTGTAGTTAGGCCCTCATCGATGTCTTAATTTGGGGGATTCGGATCCTCTCCACTACAAAAAAATAGTGGAGGGACCACTACATAATCACAGTCATTGATTATCTAGTTTATGGTTATGATTTTTTCTTTTAGTGCAAATTAGGAATGAGTGCAATACACGGGGGTATGGTAAGTGTTAGATTTAGATTGTATCATAACCGCCTACTAAATAATCAACGCTTGAAATTAAAAGTAGTGGTCTCTCCACTACTTTTTTGTAGTGGAGAGGATCCAAATCCTAATTTGGGCTCGACATTCTCATCCTTTGTACGTGACAACTACCATCAGCCAAGGCTCAGCATCTTTCTACGCACTAAAGAGTAATCTTTTTCAGCCTTGTGGAAGGCTTCTTTTTCTTTTCTTTTTTCAAGAATCATAAAGATTTCATTGATACGTTCTAAGAATAAGTTGATTACAAATATGGTCTGGACCAACAATAGGATCATAAAAAGTGGTACATAAATATTTGCAAACGAACTGTGCTAAATCGTGAGCGCAAATATTGCTCTACTTCTAACATGGTTGACTGAGGAGGAGGTGGAACTCTTTTAGGAGAGGCCACCATAGAGCCATGATATCAGAGATGTCCTGAGGATAATTGATAGCACCATGCAACATTAACACTAAACAGAGGCAATCGGATTTAAAATAATGTCCTTCCAACCCTTGGATTGAGCAAACCGAAGACCCAAAAGAATAGCTCCTGCTTCAACCACAAGAGGGGATGAGGGAGGGGCAAAGATGTTGTAGGAGAGTAAATGCTGACCTTGATGGTCACGGACAAGAATATTTATGGCTAGATTTGGAAAGGATATGAGGGCCCTGTTGAACTAATCAATGTTTAGCATGTTAAACAACCTAAGAGCCATAGTGTGATATCCTAGGTGGAAGGGAATCCTAAGAGTCAAAGTATAATAAGTAGGGTGATATTCTAAGAGATGACTCCTTGTATTCTATGCAAATAAATGTGTAGAGTTAATGTATGGAATATGAAGGGTCACGTATAAGTCTATATAAACCCATGAGTGGGAGAATTTGATATATGAAAAAAAAAGAAAACATAAGCACCAAATTCTCTATCTTCTTCTACATCTCTCTCTCTCTAATTCTCTATCATACTAGCCTTAGCCAAAGTTCTTCTTCACTACTCAGTTCAGAATTTCAACATGGTATCAGAGCTTCGTTACGACAACTGAGTGTTAAGAAACCCTACCTCTACAAAAACGCCAACACCCACTACCAAAACTCTTCCAAATAGCCTCCTCAAAATGACCAATACAACTGTTGATTCTCCAACTTCATCTCGGATTCAAGTGCCTGACCCAATAGTCATTGAGTCCGACCCAAAACCTACCTCCGGCGAGATACGAAAATTGATCTTATCCGGGGAGAACTACGACTTTTGGCGGATCAAGATGAGGACGATATTCAGAGCGCATGACCTTTGGAAGCTGGTGGAGAAAGGTTTCGAGGTGCCAGAAGATGAAGACTCTCTCACCCGGCGAAGCAGAAGACATTAAAGCTTAACTACATGAGGGATGCCAAAGCCCTCGGGTTGATCCAAAATACCGTCTCCGACTCCATCTTCCCCAGGATCTCCAACGAGGAGACAGCAAAGGCGGCGTGGGACATTCTCCAAGAAGAGTACCGTGGGAGTGAAAAGGTACGGACGGTTAAGCTTCAAACTATTAGAAAAGAGTTTGAGCAAATCTCTATGAGAGTAGAAGAAAGACTCGATGATTTTCTTACTAGATTCACCAATGTTATAAATCAATTAAAAACTTATGGTGAAGATGTAACAAATCAAAGAGTAGTTCAAAAAATTCTTATTTCTCTCTCTAGTAGATATGACCCCATTGTAAGTGTGATAGAAGAAACAAAAGATATGGAGAAGCTTTCATTACAAGAGGCAATCACATCCATCAAGACGTTTGACCAAAAGCTTGAGAAGAGGAATGAAGCTTCTACCATGGAGAGAGCCGACCAAAGCTTCAACATAAGCTCAAATCAACAACAGAGCCAGAAGCAAAAGAAGAAGAAGAAAGGAGGCAAGCCCAATTTTGCTCCAAAGCCACAACAACAACAACAAAGTGGAAACTCACAACATGGTAGCAAATCCACATGTAGAACTTGCGCCAAGTCTCATCAAGGGAAGTGCTGGTTCGAGGGGAAGCCCAAGTGCACCAACTGCTCTAGATTTGGACATACCAAAGAGCAGTGCAGGACTCAAGGAAATCAAAACCAAAACTACCGGCTAGTCTTTGCACACCAAGAAGAGGACGGCGAAGGTAATGTTTTCTTTGCTTGTCATGGAGGAAAAGATAGTGATGGTAGTTTTTGGTATATTAACAGTGGCTGTAGTAACCACATGACCGCGAACCGGTCACTGTTGATAGACTTAGACACATCCTATCTTGGTAGTGTATGACCGCGAACCGGTCACTGTTGATAGACTTAGACACATCCTATCTTGGTAGTGTAAAGATGGGAAATGAGAATATTGTAAAATCAGAAGGAAAGGGTATATTGGCTGTAAATACAAAAAAAAGGAAAAAGATACATCAAGGATGTAATGCTTGTACCGGGTCTAGAGGAAAATCTATTATGTGTAGGTCAAATGCTCCTTAGCGGTTATTTTCTAGTTTTTGGTGATCAAGCAGTGAAGATCTATGATGATAGGAGTTTTAACAACTTGGTGGCCAAAGTCAAGATGCAACCCAACAGAAGTTTTCCTCTCTCACTGCACTACTGGAACACTCAAGCTCTAAAGGTTGAAGAGGTGAACTCCTCCTGGCTATGGCACAAGAGGCTCGGACATCTCAACTTCCAAAGCGTCAAGACTCTTCAAAGCAGAGAAATGGTGTATGGCCTCCCAACCATTGAAGAAATTGAAGGTGTCTGCTCCAGTTGCATGAAAGGCAAGCAGCATCGAGGCGAGTTTCCAATGGAAGGAGCATGGAGGGCAACAAAGCCTTTGGAGTTGATCCATACGGACCTATGTGGTCCAATGAAGACGGAGTCCCTGGCCGGCAACAAATATTTTATCACTTTTATTGATGACTTTAGCAGGATGCCATGGGTCTACTTTTTGAGGCTCAAATCAGAAGCTTTCACCGTCTTCCAAAAGTTCAAAGCAATGGTGGAAAGACAAACAGACCTGGAGATCAAGAAGATTCGAAGTAATCGGGATGGAGAATACACTTCAGCAGAGTTCGAGGACTACTGCAGCAACCTTGGCATCGAGATGCAAACCACATGTCCATACACTCCTCAACAGAACGGAGTGGTAGAAAGGAAGAACCGGACTATCGTAGAGATGGCCAAGAGTCTCCTACATGAGAAGAACCTTCCCTACAAGTTCTGGGGAGAATCAGTAAACATCGCAGTGTACATTCTCAACCGGTATCCAACAAGAGCATTGGAGGACATGACCCCATTCGAAGCATTCTCAAAGTAGAAAACCTTCCTTAAACCACCTTAAGGTTTTCGGTTGTGTTTGTTTTGCTCACATCCCAGGCCAGTTGAGGTCCAAACTGGAGGAGAACACAAGAAGGTGTATCTTTATGGGATACGCAAGCCATACGAAGGGCTACAGGCTCTTCAACCCGAAGACTCAAAAGATCGTCATCTCATGGGATGTGGTTTTTGACGAATCAGCCAAGTGGAATTGGGATCTCAAGAAGGAGGAGCAGGTGCCCACAAACTGCATCTACCTAGATTCAGAAAGCACCCAAGATCCAGATCCAGAGCCAGAATTGCAAACTCCACAAAACGGCTCGAGTTCAACAAGCTCTGACTCAACCACACCCAGATCAAGTGCTAACTCCTCAAGCACACCATCCAACTCTAGTCCTAGTTCTTCTTCCTCCTCAGGTACAACTCCATTAAGATATAGAAATCTTAATGAGATTTACGCTTCATGTAATTTTCGCATATTGGAGCCTGAGTCATTTGAAGAAGCCATCAAAGAAGAAGATTGGAAGAAAGCCATGCAGGAGGAGATCTCCATGATAGAGAGAAATGGCACCTGGGAGCTGGTAGAGAAACCTACAGCCAAGCCAATCATCGGCGTTAAGTGGGTCTATAAGACTAAACTGAACCTTGACGGGTCCATCAACAAGAAGAAGGCACGGCTTGTGGCGAAAGGCTATTCACAGAAGCCCGGAGTGGACTTCAATGAAACCTTTGCCCCTGTCTCCAGACTAGAAACAATTCGTCTCTTGATTGCTCTAGCTGCTGACAAAGGGTGGAAGGTATTCCAACTCGATGTGAAGTCGGTATTCCTTAATGGGGTGCTACAAGAAGAAGTCTACATCCATCAACCGCAAGGGTTCGAAGTTGCAGGAGCCGAGGATAAAGTCTACAAGCTCCACAAGGCCCTCTACGGTCTCAAGCAAGCACCAAGGGCATGGTATTAAGAGGTCAACTCCTACTTCACCCAACATAACTTCAAAAAGGAGCCTTAGTGAAGCTACACTTTACATTCGAAGAGATGAGGTAGATATTCTCATTGTAGCTGTATATGTAGACGATATTATCTATACAGGCAACAGTGAGAAGCTTATGCATGAGTTCAAGAAAGACATGATGGAGGTGTATGAGATAACAGATTTAGGCCTCCTTCACCACTTTCTTGGCATGGGGATCCAGCAGGACGAAGATGGCATCATCATTCATCAACAGGCCTATGCATAGTCAATCTTGAAGAAGTTCGGCATAGCAGACTGCAATCCCATCTCTACCCCACTGGTGGTCAGTGATAAACTCAAGAAGGGAGACGGTACCAAAGGAGAAGAGCTCAACCTCTACAGAAGTATCATAGGGAGTCTCCTCTACCTCTCTAATACTCGACCTGACCTCATGTTTGCCTCAAGTCTCTTAAGTAGGTTCATGCATTGTGCAATAAGAGTGCACATGGGAGCTGCCAAACGGGTCCTTAGGTACATCCAAGGCACCCAGAATTTTGGGATCCATTTTGAGAAGAACTCCTCAGCAAAGCTATTCGGATTCTGCGATAGTGACTGGGGAGGTGATGAAGATGACATGAAGAGTACCTCTGGATACTGCTTCACACTCGGATCGGGTGTGTTCTCCTGGGCGTCGATGAAGCAGGAGTCCGTGGCACTATCAACTGCAGAAGCCGAGTATGTGGCGGTTTCTCAAGCAGCATCACAAATCAAGTGGTTGAGGGATGTGCTTGATGACATTGGTGAAAAACAACTGCAGCCTACTCCTCTCCTCTGCGACAACAAGTCAGCGATCGCAATGGCAAAGAACCCCATCTTCCACCAAAGGACGAGACATATCAAGAGAAAATACCACTTCATCAGAGACGCGATCATGGACAAGGAGATGGAGGTCATCTACTGCAAAACTGAAGATCAAGCTGCAGACATTCTCACCAAAGCGTTGCCGAAGGATCACTTTTGCACACTTCGAGAACTAATGGGTGTTAAACCTGTTAACCCCTGAGGAGGAGTGTTGAACTAATCAATGTTTAGCATGTTAAACAACCTAAGAGCCATAGTGTGATATCCTAAGTGGAAGGGAATCCTAAGAGTCAAAGTATAATAAGTGGGGTGGTATTCTAAGAGATGACTCCTTGTATTCTATGCAAGTAAATATGTAGAGTTAATGTATGGAATATGAAGGGTCATGTATAAATCTATATAAACCCATAAGTGGGAGAATTTGATATATGAAAAAAAAGAAAACATAAGCACCAAATTCTCTATCTTCTTCTAGATCTCTCTCTCTAATTCTCTATCATACTAGCCTTAGCCAAAGTTTTTCTTCACTACTCAGTTCAGAATTTCAACAAGCCCAAATATTTATTATCCAAGCTTATCTTGACCACATTGAAAATTTAGAGAACCTTTCTTCTAGTGTGATTATCGGCGACATGACTGAGATGGATGGATGATTTTTCATAATTAATAACCTGAACAGAGATTGTGCCAAAGGTGGCCAAAGTAGCTTTGATCACTCTACACTCCAATTCCTAGCAAGTGCCAAATGAGAGAATATCCTCAGCAAAAAAGAGCTGAGTGAGAGGAATCTCACTATTTGATAGTGTGAGCCCTTTGATAAGCCCAAGTTGAAGATTTTTTCCAAGCATGCGAGAAAGAGCCTCCATGACTGAGATAAAGGGAAAGGGGACAGAGGGCTGCCCTGACGAAGACCCCTGTGGCATTAAAGAAACCATCATGGCTGTCATTGATTAACATTGAGAATGAGACATCAACAACACATGAGTGAATTAGGGACCTGAAATTATTATCAAAACCCATTAGAAATAAAATATGATCTAACACCGGCCACAAGATCCAGTCGAAGGCTTACAACATGTCAAGTTTGAGAGCGAAGAAACCCAGTTTAGCTTGGGTGGATTTGCGGTGGTGGAAAAATTTCTCTTGCTAAGAGGATGTTATTAGTTATGCTTCTCCCCTCAATGAATGATCCTTGGAAGGGAGAGATGCGGGATTTGAGCTGAGGTTTGATTCGATTAGAAAGGATTTTGGTGATGGTTTTGTTGGCAATATTGTTAAGCTAATGGGTCGGAAATCATTTGGAGAGATACTATCGGTCTTTTTTGGTATGAGAGCAATATGGTTGTGGTTGAGACCTTCGAGTAAACAATGATTTATGAAGAAATCTTGGACAACCTTGATAAGATCAGGGCCAGTAAAGTCCTAAGTTTTTTGAAAAAAAGAACTGGAAGACCATCAGTACCCGGTGTTTTGAGGGGAGACATGGATGCGAGGGTGTTTTGGATAGTGGAAGGATCAGGAATTGCAGAGATGGTTGAGTGCCCATGATGGGCTAAATGTTGAGTGGTCCAGAATCTAAGATGATTAAGGCTATCAACACTCGAGGACATGTAGAGGTTTCCAAAGTAGGTGACAAATGTTAGGATTGTGTCTTTGATTTTTTATATAACTTCATAAAAATTAGATAGGGTTAGAGATCTATCATGATTAGGAGATTGGGTCTCATCATAATGGGCTAGAGTAGGGTTTTGATTACCCTATATATTTTCTTTTATTGCTGGAGGAAAAACCAAAGAAAGGGAAGAGAGCCAATATTCTTGCAATGTAGGGTTAGCACAGGGCGTTGCCTAATTTAAGAATATTGTGCGAGAGGCGAGGGTTTCGTAGTCTTTGTCCGTGCAAAAGATTACAATATTGAGAGAGGGCTTCACGGACTGTGTCCGTTTAAGAGATTATAAGGAGTGGGTTTTGAAGAGAATATGAGAGTTGATTATGTATGTGAGGTTGAGAAATTGAGAGACGATAATTGAGTGGTTCCTCTTATAGTTTTTCCTGATACATATTAGATTTCTCATATTGTTGCCTCGTGGATGTAGATCAAAGTTGGTTGACTGAACAAGACAAACTCATCATCAATAACACCTCATCTATCGATATGGAACTATCAGATTTCAAGACAGCTGAGATCCTATTGATTTTCGCTTTGTTTTTGGTGTAAAGGTGATAAAAAGATGTGTTTCTATCCTTGCTGATGGACCATTGCACCCTCGAGCACTGTCTCCAATGAAGCTCTTCATCACTTAGGATATTTTCTAGAGCAATATGGAGGTCTTTTTCTTTGGCGATGTAAGCATCTAAGGGAGGAAGTAATTGGACTAAAGTAATTTCACTCCGGATATGATCAATATTCACATGGGATGAGTCAAATTCCTTAGCCTTCCATTTGAGAACTTCTTTTCTAATGTTAAGAAGCTTTGTGCGGGAGGAGTGCATGAATAGACTATGGCTCAATGATTATCTTGATAAAGTTGGGGCGATTTATCCATCGAGCTTCCACTCTAAATGCTTTTCTCTTAGATTTTCTTTTACTTAGGAGAGAGACCAAGATCGGTTTTTTTGACCTGTTTGAATTCTGTTTTGTTTTAACCTCTAAAGTTATTAAAGAGGTGATTAGGGCAACTTGTAATTAAGATGAAAATAGTGAATTTTCTCCTGTAGTGGCCATGGACGTAGCTTCTCATATTGAGAAGTGAACCACGTAAAATCTTGTATGTTTGTGATTGTTTCTTTCTCTCTCATTTCTATTTCCAAATCACATCACGGGTTTGAACAAAAAACCCTAACACATAAGGGTGGCATCATAGACGAAATCCTTGAAGTCTTTGAGGTCCGAAGTTGATGGGATATTGCCCCTAAAATTTTCATCAGATTTAAGGTTGGCATTGAAGTCACCAATACACAGCCAAGGTTCAGTGAAGGAAGAGCTGAGGGTGAGGATTTCAAACCAAAGGAATTTCCTATCCTTTCTAGCGGCCGCTCCATAGACACACACCAGAGTCTATGGCATGGGTTGGGAGCATTCGGTAATAATATAGTTACAAGAACAAGAAGAGATTGTCATAGCTATAGGGCTATTTTTATAGTAGGTAGAGGCTATAGGACAGGCCCAAAGCAGGAATCGAGTAATGGGAGGAGATGTAGTAGACGATCAAGGTGATTTTTGTTGCACTTTGTTTTGGAGAGGAAAATAATATAGGAATAAGATGATTTTCGGTGGAGTAGTAGATATTTTTGGATTGTCGATGTACTCCTCCCTCCTCAACAATTCCAAGCTAGAAGTCTCATTTGGTCACGTGCGGGCTAAATGTGGTAGCCGCATGAAGAGAAAAGTTGGGACCATTTTGTGATGAAGCGAGGCTCTGACCAGAACCAAGTGTTTTAGGTCGCTTAGATTATGAGGTTTCATATGCTATTGGTTCTTTGAGGTGTTTGGATAGGAGCTGTTGGGGGGAACTAGGAATGGAGCCTAAAAGAGGAGTTTATTCAGGTTTGACTTGAGCTTTAGCATTTTGGAGTTTGAAGGGGAGGGATGTTAATTACTCAATTTGGAGGGATTCATTTTCGATATTTTCTGGAGGGGAGTTTGAGGAGTTGATGGGGATATTTGTTTTGTTGAGAGATGGAGGATTATTTGATTTTTCTTCTAAAAAGACAAATGTAGCAGCTTTAGAGCTGGTTTTAATTTTGGTTTTCAATAAGGTGTTGAAGTTTGGTTTTCAATTTGGTGGGGCTGAAGTCTTTGTTAGTGGCGGGGATTTTTTGGTTAGGGGTTTGGGAAAAACAACTGAAGGATAAGAAGTACAGTTTAATAAATGACTCGGTGCTTGTACAGGGTGTGATCACGTGGATGTGTTTAATGGGTTCGCTTTGAGAGTGTGAATGGATATGAAGTGAAGTTGGTGGATTGAAATTTTGGGTGATCATAGAGATGTCCAAAGATTCACTAGATGGAGGCATTGGATTTGATGCATTGATGGAATTGGAAGCTTTGGGCCTGTTTGTTTCGCAAAAAATTACAGAAAGTGGGGGAAAGTGGGGGAAAAGAAAATATTTTTTGACGTTTTCCTTCACTTTCAGAGGTTTGGTTCGTCAAAACTATAAAAGAAAGTGGGGGAAAGTATGAGTTGTCACTATATTATTGGTTGATGTGAGTAATTTTTGATGTTTTCCTCCACTTTCCTTGTTTAGATTTTTTTCTTGTGTTTGGTTCATTCTTAAAAGTTTGGGAAAAAAGATGAGATGAGATGAGATGAGATGAGTTGTCACCATATTATTGGATGATGAGATGAGATGAGTTTTCCTCCACAATCCTTGTTTTTTTGGAGGAAAGTGATGGAAGGAAATTTTAATGGGATGTGATGAGTTGTCACCATATTATTGGATGATGTGAGTAATTTTTAAAGATGATAGAAAACGAAGAAAAGTGGGGGAAAGTGAGTTAGATGAGTTGATTGATGTGACTCATTTCTTGTGTTTTGTTTATTTTTAAAAGTATGAAATGAGATGTGGTGGGATGAGTTGTCACAATATTATTGGAGGAAAGTGGAGAAAGTGAAGAAAAGTAGGTTTTGAAAAGTGGGGGAAAGTGAAAAAGTGAAGGAAAATGGGTTTTGGATTCTGGGGAAAACGAAACAAACAGGCCCTTTGTGTATAACAGAAGGGTCCAGAGCATTCGATGTGACAGAGCTGGAATGTGTTTTTGGGATTTGTGGGTTGTGGTATGGTGTTCTCTATGGGTTTAACCTGGTCCAACACTAAGATTTGATCCGTGATTATGCTTGAAGATGATAATGGTTTTTCTGAGGTTGAGAAGACATTAATGTGAGGTTATATGGCTTTTTGGTTGAGATAGCTCGAAGGCTTTCTAGGAATTTTGGATCAAAGAGATGAGATAACTCAGATTTAAGCTCAGAGGTAAGGAGATCATTGTAGGTTTGTCGAGCAGCACTTCTCATTTCATCGTTGTGACACCCCCACTTTAGTCCCACATGGGCTAGTGTAAAACAATGTTAGTAGTTTAAATAGAGAAATGTAAAACCCCGTAATTTTTGATACATAGTAATAAATATTAATAAATGAGTAATATTGTGATAAATATCATTTATTAATGGTTGAGTATATTAGAAATCGATTTGAGATCGATTAAATACATATAAGTGTGTATATAAGTGTGTATATAAGAATTTAGGAGCGAAACATGCACAAGTCCTTCATTGCATTCTAGTCGGTAGACCGGCCTTGGCCGATCGGTCGACCGATGATACCCCACCGGTCGACCGATTGATTGTGACGGGTCGACCGACGGGCTCCTAGCTCGTGCAGGTTTATGTTCGGGTCGGCTTTGGTTTCGCTTTGGGCCGAGTTATGTACGATAGTATATATACTCGTTTTAAACCCTTTTTTCCTATATTTTCACGTGTTTTATCAGTAGCCACCTTCCCTCTCAAACATTAACCCTAATCTGTGAGTTTTTATGAGTTTACCTGAGGTGTTTATCGAGAGGAAGGCGGGATTAGCGAGCTTGGTGAAGAGGAATCTTGCACGCACGTGTTTGGGAGTTCAATACGATGTTTGAGGCAAGATCACCTCTGTCCAAACCTTCCCCTAGTTTAGAAAATCAAGTTTTATGTGTTTATTATGATAATCTAGTATATTAGAATTTAACTTATGATGTTTAAAACTTAAATCAAGCTATAAATAGTAGAAATCTTTTCTGTAATTTGTTTAGCACATGATCATGATCATAGGATTTTACTTTAACATGTTAATTACCGTTTAGCTTTGGTTAATATGCATTAGTTTGTCAAAATAAACAAGAATTTGACTAGTTTAATTACTAAACCCTAGATCCATGCATACAAGTGATTTATCTTGGTTAAATAAATCCCAGTTGATGTTATTCATGAGTTTTGTATCAAGTGGTGATCATATAAGTTGATAAAATATGTATTTATTCGAGAATTTTGGTTAATAGGATGTTAATCCCTATTTAGTTAATTCAAGAGTTTGTAACATGTTAAGATTAATCATTGCTAATAAATTCTAAAAGTTCAAATCTTGTTTTACATGCTTGCTAACAAAATATGCGACTAAGAAAAGTTATAGAAAACAAAACCTAAGAATAAAACTGTTTGATTAGTCCAGGATTTTTCTGAATCCTCTCTGGTCAGTCAACCAGTAAGGAACTATCGGTCGACCGATAGAGTTTTTCTTACGTGCACTTTATTTTATTTGTTTGAAGTGTTTTGTTTTTGTACATTTAATTGTGAACCCGGGGTTCGATCCATAGGACGATACACGTGCAACCATGGATGTACACGAATTGAGTCAAAACACATTTACGGATACCCCGAAGAGGATTATTACATGTATTGTTTTGATCATGTTTGAATTAACAATTAATTATAATACTTATGCATGTATGGATATTGTTGATGAGCACAGCTCAGTATTATTTGGGATAGTGCTTTGATGCTGTTAGTACAAGCCATTGAGTCGTGATTTTAGGATACCTGATTTGGTAGTCCATCCTGAACGGTGGTGCGATGA